TATTAAGTATTAAGTTTGCTAGTATTTAAGTTGACAAAAAGACAATTTTTTTAGTTTTGATATATTTTATTAAATCAAAATATTCTTTATATTCAGTTTCAAATTATTTCTACAATACTTTATTTACTATAATAAATTTGTATAATTATTTGAAAATGATTTTATCTGTTTTTATTTTTATTAAATTTGAATTAGCTATGCTATAGGTAACGGATTTTAAATTATCACTTATATTTAAATATATTTACAAAGTTAAAAGATTTTTTTTGTTTTTGTTCATTTGTTATCTACATTGAAACCTTTTAGATTCTAAGCTGAGTGATAAATGTATTTATTTTACAGTGAAGTGTTTTTTTTTTGTAACTGATGACGCTTTTTATATCAGAAAAAAGTGCTTCAATACTCAACTTAAATATATTTTCTGGTAGGTATATAAATCTATTTGGTATGTGATCGAAACTAAAAAATGAACAATACCTTTCTTAATAATTGGGAAAACAAAAAATAATTAATGAACAACTGGAATACGCAATACCAAAATCGATTTTTTTATTTTGTTTAAAAATTTAATTTCTAATAAACTTAATTAGGTATATAAATAAAAAAAGAAATTTAATATTTTAGATTCTGAGTGGAACGATGAATGACGTATTGATTGTACAATGATGTGTGTTATTATATTTTTTTATTTTTTTATTTTTGTGTCTGTGTACACGATAAGTAGTCGAAATAATGCTTCAATTTTCGACTTCAGTATCTTGTTCGATTGGAAAGTGAATATCGTTGGTGCATAGGGGAGGTCAAAATTCAAAATTCTCAGTAATTTTCTTGAACTGTTTAGGGACATTTTCATTTTTCATTTTTTTTTTAGTTTTTTTTTCTAGAAATATCAATAAAATTTTATTTGTTGGTTAAAAAAGCTTGAAAATTTAATAGAAGGCTCCAAGTATATTGTTTCAAAGGCAGATGAAAAATATTAAAAATCCTTAGTAACAGTTTTTTTTTATAAGCATTTAAAGTTCAAAAATTGACAAAATATGGAATAATCACGAAAATTAACAAATTATTTTGAGTTAAGAATTCGTAAAAATTTTTCTTTTTAAATCTAAGATTTGAAAATCGAATACAAGATAACTCATAAGTTTGTCTACCTTTATCAATGAAAAAATCTCTACCGGAAAGTCAAATTGAATTTTTATGAGGGTTTGAAATTCAAATTTCTACAACATTGGATATTCACTCGTATTTTCTACGGCGTTTGCCGGTTCTGTGTTCACACTGCACCGGCACTGAACGTACCGACACGAACCGGCACGATACGGACCGTCAAAACATTCTTTCGGATGAAGTCGGTCGGTCCGGTCCATGCTGTAACGTGACGGTGCGGTGTCGTCTGTATCAATGTGAATTACCCCATATAAACTAATAATGTAATATTTTGTCGTGCCGTTACGTGCTGTGACGGTCCGTGCCGTGCCGTAACAGTGTGAATCGGGCTTTATAGTGTTTAGTTATCCATAATTTAAAAAAAAAAAACACTTAAGAGTAAAAAATATTTGAAATTTCCTATACAAACTTTAAAGTTTTTCTCTTTTTATTTCTGAAGAAGCTCATCAATATATAATATAAATCAATAGTAATTTATCATTTAAATAAAATTATAATTTATATTATAGTCATAATAAATATACATAAATAACAAAAGGTAGAGCTAAATTATTAATAATCTAAAAATGTTACGTTCGGATGCAAAGCCTTGGTTTTTATCAACATTTTTATTCAAATACTATAGAAAAATATAAAATACCTATGTGGTCTTACAGAAACGTAACAATATGATTTAAGAAGAATTAAAAACGACAAAACATTATTCAGGAAATTAGGAAAATTTATTTGTGAATACAACACAGTGGGATTCAAAATTCAAATAGCTAATAAGGGATAGGCCACTAAAACTCATAATTCTATTATTAGTTTTTATTATTATTTTAAACCATTTAAATAATTTTTAATAATAATTGTACCTATACAGATTATAATTTATGAGACTTTTAACAATAATTTTATTATAAATTATAATACAATATTATTTAAAAATTGATTTGATTTACCTTTAAAAAGCTGAGGTTATGATTGTTTACATTGCTTCGATATAGTCATCTTTCCACTTCACAATACAAAATAAAAATTAACTAATATTTATATTTTAATAAATATAATATTTTAATAATTATTTTTGTATAATATCAGTAATATCACGACAGTATAACGAAACACGTATATTTTTAAATAATATAACATTATATTGTATAACAACAATTACAACATATATAATAACATAATAACAATATAACATTGTACGTATAATCGTACCTAAAATGTGCATACCCCGTACAACTGTTAAATAATATTGATACCGGTGCTACAGTACTTGGTAACTGTAATTTCGAATCTCCGGCCGATATTGTGGTGCGATGCATATTTATGGCTCACTATTTGTTGAAACGAACACTGTAATGAAAAATAATTTTATGTATTTTAATTAATGTATAAGGTAGAATTAATATAATATATTACAAATTAATGAAGTGATTAAACCAAATTATCGTAAATAATCATACCCGAAGTCCGAAGAAATACTGAAGTGCCAACTCGGCTATTTTTCTCTTTGCAATCTTCTTCGTAGATGCTGTAAAATATAAATTAATAGCATAAGTAACTAATTTTTTTAGAAACAATTTTTAAGATGAATACTCATTAATCCAGCCAATTTCAACTTGATTTCTCATGTAGCGATTTCCTTAATTGGTTGTAATTAAAAAACTAATAACTATAGATACATGAATATGTGTTACATACTCAGTACTCACATTATACTATTCAGTGCCGCATTTAGACATTTTGCGCCCCGGTGTAAAAAAAAAATTGGCGCCCCCAAGCCCCGTGAAAAAAAAATTGCTCCTCCCACGGAAAATATTTGAGGTAGATCCTCATTACCCTTTAGATTTTGAGCGAAGAAAAGAATATTTGTTTAAGAGTGCTTTTTTAAAAAAATATTGTTTAGTAATTGCTTGATCCCTCCGCAAAGATATATTGGAATTTATGTCACTCAAACCTTGCTAATAATTTAGTATCATTAAGTTGTTTTTTTTTTTAAACATATTTAAGTAGGTACTTCATGGATAAATAAAATAAAATTATATAAAACTATGCAAATAAATATTTTATATTTTATTGTATATAGTATTTTATAAAATTAATGTAACTATATACAGGGCTGGTAGTGGTTTAAGCTATTTAAAAAAAGTGACTGAATTTATTTATAAAAGTGACAAAAAAGTGACCTACATAAATTTGTTTCATAACAACTTGTCAACTTACCAGTTATTAAACATTAATTATTTTTGAATCTCCATACCTATAGTTTAATTGATTCTTACTTACTTAATTTTGTAGAAATTACAAAAAATAATGATTATAATAAACACAAAATTTAATAGCAAATAATTAAATAATATTACCTATTTAAATGAATGATGTTTATAATATAGAATAATATTCAAGATCATTGTTTTGGAACTTCCTTTATTTTAATCATAAGTACAAAACTATGTAATATAAAATCAATACGCCGTATTGGTATTGCCCGTATTATTATAAATAACTGATGTCTATTGACATAATCACAACAAATTTGGGAACTAGGTATATTAATAATTATCGATCGCTGTAGCTATATTGCTATAAATACATTGATTGTTTAAATAATAAATTTCAAACAGCATAATTATTATAGGTACTATAATAATATAGATATACAATACTATTATACTAGATTATATTATATAATACTGTTATAAAAATAATTTAAAGTATACAATTTTAAAAAATCATAAGTAAAGACATTTCTGTCCACAAAATTTTGGCGCCCCTAAAATACTGGAGCCCTGGGCAGTTGTACCCAGTGCCCCCCCCCCTAAATGCGGCTATGATACTATTATAGACTATAGTAAAGTTACATGCTATTGTCGAGTGTCGACTGTCGAGTGTTTATGTCGTTGGTAATATTGCTAAGATAAGCAAAGTTTGGATGCATTTCGACAAAATCAACAAATTAAGTGCAAAATGCAAAATATGTCCAATACTTCAAACCTACAACACTCCCATCTAAATAATGTTCATAATCATAAAACTAAAACATTAAAATCAAATGTTTTGGAAAAATGCGCCGATGAACATAATGTTGATGATCCTGATTCTGTGTGTACATCTCAATTAAGAATAATTATGTACCTATTTTATGCTTTGAAGCATGTTTATTATATAAATAATTCTCTTTTTTTAAGATTTTAAGTACATAGACGACTCCAATTTTTGATGAAAGCGTTTCTGTCGCTAGTAATAGTAAAACAATTAGTACCGTACCAATGATTTTCCTTCAAAAATAATTCAACCATCAATTGAACCATCTGAAATCCATGAAAGGTAACTTCTTTAAAATGTATAAATACATTTTTTATGCTAATAGCCAAAACAATAATTTATTGTTTATAAATAGGTATATTAAAAAATGTAGGAACCAAATTGTGTTTTTTAAATTCGATTACTTAATACATAGTTTTATAAATAATGATGAGTTTATTGGCTTAACTTTTTTAAATTATAATTTTTAAACTGAGGCCGAATTCAGTTTTCAAATTTTTGTTTCAATAGAGTTATTTATTTTGTATTTACAGTAGGTGGAGTAAAAAATACAGAAATAACTGAGGCACTGATATATTATATATGTAAAGACAGTGTACCTTTTCTGACAGTCGATGGCAAAGGTTTTAAATACTTTTTAAAAGTGGCAGGTCCGCTTTATAGTAATCCTTCGAGAAACACAATAAAAAATAAATTAGATGAAAAATACAATTATTTATCTAGGTACCAAGTTTAAACAAAGACTCAAACAACAAAACAATTTTAGCCTAACTTCAGATATTTGGACTGATATTCAAATGAAGAGTTTTCTCGGTGTTACCATTCATTTTTTGGAAAACAATACATTTGTATCTGGTAATATTTAAAAACATTTTAAATACCCATTTAAAATAATGGTTATTATTATAAATTTTATTTATTGTAATTTAGGAACATTAGGTGTGTACAAACGCAACGAATCACATACTGCTGTGTATATTAGTCAAATATTTGAAGAAATATTATTTGAATGGGGATTAAATAAATCACAGATAATTGCAATTGTCACTGATAGTAGTAAATAATAATACTTAACATTTTATTTATTCAACTATATTTCTTTTAATGCGTGTTTGTAGGTGCAAATATAAAGAAAGCAGCAAAAACCACATTTGGAGTATGGAAATTTATTCCATGTTTTGCTCACGCCATTAATTTGATTTCAAACTATTCAATTGATAACTGTGAAGGGTTAAATGAGTTGATTGAAAAAGTTAGATGTATTGTCAAATATATAAAAAACAGCGTAAATGTCAGCGATGAATTGCGAAAATACAAACAAAATAATGGTTTGTACCTACTACCTTATTATAAATAGTAATATAATTAGTACAATAGTACCTATGATTAGTATTTTTACTCATAAATCCTAATTTGATTAACATATTATATGAATATTATTAAATTTAGGAATATTGGAAGGAAATATACTTAAAATTATATTAGATGTGAAAACACGTTGGAACAGTATGTACTATATGGTAGATAGATTTTTAAGTTATTTCTATAATATTTCGTTGGAGAAACAAAAAGCACCAGATTGTCTAAATACCAGAGAGGTAAACACACTTAAAGAAGTTAAACATTTATTACAACCTTTAGAAGATTTAACTAAAAAAATATCTGGTGATAAATATCCTACCTACTATAAGTTGTATGTTACCATTAATAAAATGTGTTAACTCTGTCATCAACCAAATGACACCTACTACAACTGTGGGAATCGGAATATCACTACGTTCCAACATCCTCGAACAATTACACAAACATTTTAACGAACTTGAGCTATTTAATGATGTTCCAATTAGCACAATATTGGATCCCAGGTAACAAAAATTGTGTTAATAAGCAAACAATTACAATGTCTGCATATTTTTTTTTGCTTCAGAAATCTCCACTTCCAAGACCCTGTAAATTGCCTAAGAGCAATTGGAAAGATAAAAAGATTGTTAATAGGTTTACAAAATGAACAGTCTGCAGTTGAAACTGAACCAACTACTAGTTCCCAATTGAGTATATCAAACAATCAATCATTTGACTTATGGTCTTATCATAAAACAGTAGCATCATTGCAAATTGAAAACAGAACCAAGCCAGTCGATCAAGAGGTAAAGCTGTACCAACACTATAATTTTGCAGAATTTTAATTTTGACTTTTTATTTTGATTGATAGTTAAATTATTATTTAACCAAGCCAGTGGTGCCAATAAATACAAATCCACTTGAAGCTTGGGATGTTATTAAATCAATGCATCATAATTTATTTGAAGTAGCAAGAACAAAATTGTCAATTATAGCTATACATCGGTTCCATCGGAACGACTATTTTCTAAAACAGGCCAAATTCTAAACAAAAAGAGAAATAGACTGAAAGGTAAAAGACTAAACAAGTTAGTTGTTATGAGTTCCTTAAGAGAAGAAGATTGGTTATAATAAATAATAATAGTTATAATAATAATAAATTGAAAATACATAATATTGTAATCATTTTGAAACCTACTTTATTAAATTATCAGCATACCTACATATCTTCCTATCATCATACTTATAAAAGTTAAGACTAGTTATCCTCTACAGCTACTGTACTCTGTAGTGTATTATTTTATTGTATTTTTAGTTAATAGGAACAACATTATTCCCTACATTTAACTTTATTATTTTTTTCTTTTATCCTATGTAATTACTATTTTTACAGTAGTACATTTGCACAAGACAAACCAAGGTTATTAACTTGTAAAATAATTGTAATTAAGCATAAATCATAATCAATTTTTTTCTTCGACATTACATTTACTTTGTACGCACAAGTCATTTTAATGGCATCATGTTAAATTGCCTATATTAATTTCCTTAAAACAAAACCGACTGGGAGCCCCGTTAATTGTATGAACCACATGGCTAAATAAACAGGCATGTCAACAAGATTACGTGTTTTCCCTATCACTACGCATGTGCCCCAGACTTGGAATAAACGATAGTTATGATTGGAATAATCAATGAAATAACATTTCTTATCAGTATTATCAACAATTTTGACCCCAGAAAAAAACATTAACTCATTAATTATTTGTGTTTTATTTATTATTTTACAAATTTTTTTAGTTTATGCGTATATTTTATTATATTTGTTTTTCGTTCACTACTATTTAGTTCCCTTAAGTGTATGTATAGTCGGGTGCGAACAAGACATAATAATACTTCCATTGGAATACAATTTTTTGGAATTATTGTGAGCATCTTATCAGCCAGTCTTTGAACAATACATTTTTCTTTGTCAAAGTTTTCGTGAAAAATACTTTCTAATACTTGGCTGACACTCAATAATGTTTTTGATGGACGAACAAGATATCCTAAAAACATGCGAATTGATTGTTATTATTGGATATTATTTTCAATCGTACAAATTCGGCGGTTAAAGCGTCAATATTCTTCCATGATTATTTCGCTTATTCCAAGTATGGGGCACGGCAGCTTGCGCAGTAGAATCTTGCTGACATGCCTGTTTATTTAGCCATGATGAACCATTTTTATTTTATACACACTATGACAGTTGTAGTGGTACTGTGTAATAGAGCATATTATTATTATTATTATTATTTTATAATAGGATTACAATATACGTCTGCCGTCACGGGTGCTGAATGCTGATAAGATGGCTGCAGGCAACAGTGAGTGACCGTCACGTCTCCCGTTCACTCGTTCGCGATTGCGCAATCCTATCGTCGAATTCTGATGATATCGTTTGCTCGTCGTCGTGAACGACGGTGGCCGTGACGAAAACGATAACATTATTCAAGGTGGATTCATTTACTGTATTAATCCATTACAACAGTAGTAATAATAATAAATATGTGTGCGGTGGTCGAATTTTGGACGCCACCGCGGTGTCTTCATCAGACCAAAATATTATAAAACTATAATATTATCAATAAACGGTGGCGATAAGTGATAACAGAAGTCTAATCAACTACGCGTTCCGTCCATCTCCCGAACTTCCGCGGACTGTAATTAAGTAATGGAATAGCTCACTGGCCTGTCCGCTGTATCTCGCGATATCCGAAAAAGTCTCGTTTCAAGCACCGAAGCACGGCCGCACGGCCCTAGGACGGACACACATGACGCCTCCCTAGCCGTCGAGAACTAGTGTGTAGTCTAGACCGGTGGACTCTACCACCGATGCTCTGAGTGAGGTACGTAATTAAAACGAAATATTATAATATTATTGTCGACCTACAGTGCCAACCAGAGAAACGGCTGTCGTGTATGTAATGGCTCGCCGATCGACTATTGTCCCCGATAATCAGTCGTCAATGTAAATTGTATTAGGATTTGTATTAGTCACTATCAGTTTGTAACGAACGCTTTTGTTTGCTGCAGGCCCCATTCCATATGATTGCTAAGCAGACATGGCCGAACATGGCGCCATCGATACGAACCTCCAACTCGACAAGCCCGCCGATGAAATGCTGTCGGATTGGATCCAGTGCATTTGCGTCGTCACCTTTGACCTGGAGTTTGGCCAGGCGATGGAGGTACTATTGTGGCTTTCTGTGCACATTTGCCGGCCGGCTATCTTGTACTACCTATCCGTGTTTCTGTTATATTTTTCTTTCTTTCATAGTTGGTCTACCCCAGCAACGTCAAATTATCCGAGGAAGACAAAACAAACCTCTGTTATCTGGCTTTTCCTGACTCCAATTCCGGATGCATGGGAGACACTCAATTTCACGTCAAGATAAAGTGTTCTCAACCTTCGAATCTCAGTCAACGCCATATAAACTATAATGCAAAATGTCCAGTTTTCTTACAAGCTGATCATCGTTGTTTGTATGGGTTTGTTTTCTTTCGACAAATCAAAGATCTGTCTCTACCACGGGGTTATTTTCAAAAAGTATGTTTAACCGTTTGTTTTCTATAATACACTAACTTCTTATGAGACTAAAATACGGTATGACATTGTCAGAAAACTTACTGATTTAGAGATGAATTTACATTATTTACAGGTAAAAAAAATTCTATTTGGGTAAATTACCAATAAAATATTAGTACATCTCTGAATAACTTCAATAACTTAGTAAATTGTGTTTTACTAAACCCTGTACATATTTTTGGGATGAAATATTATATTACATTATCTAGATAATGGTATGTTCTGTTTGTAGGTCACAAATAATGCACATAAGAAGATGCATTGATGTTATATCTGTATATCATATAATGTAAACTGTAAAGTAGTAGTAACACGACATACCATATTTATTTAACATTACAAAGCTTATATCATAAATTCCTAAAGTGAACATTGATTTGCCTATTATAATTTATAATAGATTCATCTAATGAATAGTATTAATTTATGATAGTAAAAATTATAAATCAATATTTGGCTTTTTCATTGTTGAAAATACAAATAAACCTACATAATAATTCTTCTTTATTTTAAAGATCATATCAAATAGTCAGTTTTTAGAAGTGCTCCAAATGTTCAATTATTAATTATTGTTTTGTTCATTATTTATTACATAATATGGATTTAATTATACATTCCATCGTGTAAACTCGAATATAACGTATTGATAATGCTGGGTTGTATAAAAAATGTATTCTAGCTAAAATTAAATGGTCCAATCATAAACTCTAAATCATGTTAAGGAACTATTAATTATTAGCTTACTATTGATTCATTAAATGTTTTTTTCTTTATCGATTAAAATACGGATTAAATTTAAAAAATAATACATTTTCATTAAAAACTTTTTTTAGTTGTACTTACCTAGCTTAATTAGGTGCATATTAATTATTCATAGGTACTGACTAATCATAATAATAAAATAATATTAATTGAACATGGAGGTATTTCAATGTTCATACTGAAAAAAAAAACAGGTTCTTAACCTAACATATCAACATGGCATGCTTTTTGTTGTTTTGACCATCACATTTATTATTCATAAAGTATTATTAAAGATAATATCTCATCATAAGAAGCTTGAATGAGTTTTTTGGATATTGCTTTAGGACATATTATTTTAGAAATGTAAAAAGTAAACTCGGGAGTAAACTATAGATTTTGATTTTCATAAATTTAAAAATTTTTTTATTATTTAACTACCATAATTATAAATTAGAGGTTTCCATTCGGCCTTTTTATAACATAAAATAAAAAATCTTTGAAAAAATTAAGCACTTATAAATGTTGCTGTCGAGAAATGCAATATCCAAAACTATTTAAAAATATTAACAATTTAATGTAGGTATATTCCAAATTAATGTTCACATTAGCATATTTATTTGGTTTTACCTTCCAACATGCCAAACAATAAATATTAATAAAAAACATTCCAACATTTTAATTCTTCTTAAATTCGATTACATTTTATTTTCCATAATTCCATTCTTGTGTATATATTATATTGATGTCACTATTCACTAAACTTACTATTTATGACTATTCAGTATTCATGGTCGTGCACACAAAGGGAAATAGGGGATAGACATAGATAGTTTTTGGAATCAGCTTATATAATACATTTTGGTATGTAAATTGTAAATCATTGTTAAAGTAAAATAAAAAATGGTCGAAACTTTATAAGTAACAATAAATTATTCATAAAAAATAAATTGATTGAGTTTTTATTTCTGTAAAAATTAAATTAATATTTCAAATTTGTTAAAAATTATAACACATTATAAAAACAAAGAATTATAATTTGTCGGTTATCACATAATATAATACAAACCATATTTTTTGATTAGTATAAAAAAAAATCAATGCATGTAAACTTACAAATTACATTACAATTTTGTCAACAATAATATTAACTTTTCAATTAAATAATGCAAATTGCAATATTTAATGTTTAACTTTTGGTGAAAATTAACAATTCTATGTCTAAAGACATCTATGTCTTTCATTCCTATAAAATTGTGTGTACGCTATTAACCATTGACTTTTTTTTATTACAATATTTAAATCAATTTGATAGTAAATTAAATTAAATAAGTACTTTTTAATTTTCATTTTAGAAAAAAAAACTGCTTTCATGCAGCAGATAATCTACTACAAAGTTTGAATAATACAATTTTGTATTAGTTATTGTTTATTAAGGATAATACAAATTGTAATAAATTACAGTTATACAATTTAAAGACAGTAAACTTTTTTTCAAATCAATTAACAATTGGATAAATATAATATCTTTGTTATTATTTACTGACATTAAACCAGTGGCTCTCAATCTTTTTTGTATGACGACACCATAATTTAGATCCATAAAAATGGCGAAACACTTAAAACAATTAATGGATTTTTGATAAAGTAAAAACTACAAACTTTTATAAATTAATATATTTAAGTCAGAATTTTATTTTTTATTTTTTTAAAAAACAAGTTTTAAATTTACTTAATTTAAAATTAAATAGTTCAAACTTCAAAGAAAGTATTATAAAAAAACAGTATTAGTTTATAAAGGAAATTAGTGCTATACTTGTGATTGGCGTACGGACATAGGTCTTTTATTTGTGAAGGAATGGTTGACAAATTCGTGTGTAATTCTCTTTTAATATTTTTAAGCATACAACTTTTTTTGGTTTTTGTTATTTCTAATGTCAAAAATGCTGATTTGCTCATGTATAATGTTGAAAAATGAAGCCAAATTTGCAATGCTTTTTGCTCACTCCGTCATATTTGTTTTGCCGATGTCGTAATTTTAATTTACTAGTTTTATATCGGTAATGAATATGCCGACTACAGGTTACTCAATAAGAATATCTTCACAATTGTTTTTCTTGTATGTGATTTTTACTATTTTATCATAATGCTAAAATAATATCATATAATATTATTTATACTTTGAAAGTGTGCAGTTTAAATTTTAAACTAATCATATTTTGGTGACAGACCACATACACCACGGCAATATATGACACACCAGTGTGATACATGTCAGTTGAGAATCCCGGCAGTAAACTGATAAAATATTTTCTGACTGAGTGTAAATATCTGATATATCACAATCTAAACACAAAGTTTAAACTAAATCGTCAGCTAGTCTTCATTAAATAGTATATCATCTGCTACATGAATGTAAAAAAAAAAATTTTAGAATTTGAAAAATATGCTAAACTTAATCCTTATACTTATATTTTATTGTTTAGAGTGTAATCATACTATCTCAGTTGCCATTCATTAGTTTATTTACTGAGGTTTGTGGGACAATAGCGCCCGAGTATTTCAAACACGGGATTACTGGAATAGAAGTAGCATGGCATGATATCAAACAGTGGCCAGATTTATATGCTGGAGAAACAGTTAGCTTGCCATTACTGGGAATTGTTCTTCAAGTTTGTGAATCAATATGATTAAATGCTAATATAAGATATGATAATTAAACTGTTTTGTTTATAGGCTCAACTGATGTGTGATAATAACAAAATCTGCAGCTCATCAAACTCAATGGTACCTGATTACCAGTTACCAGTAGTTGTATCATCATTATACGAACTGAATACATTTGGATGTTTTTCGTCGATTGTATCTCAAATGCATCTTTTATGGGAATTAGTGTTAACAACTGAGCCCATTGTTGTGATGGCCTCATCCCCTACCTACAGTTCTCAGGTTGTTCAAGCATTGGTTAGGTAAAATTAATTAATGAATCTTAATTGATATACAGTAGAGTCTCGCTGATCCGGACTTGGTGGGACTGGACTCCATCCGGATTACACGGAATGACGTTAAAAATTGCTCTAAGGCGAGATTTAGGTGGGTAAGGTATTTTACCTACCTATTTTCCGAAAATATTATCTACATATCATCTATAAATAATAAACATATAGATAAAATTTAATTTTAACATAAATAATATACATAAATACATACATAACATAAGTAGTTGATTGCCCGAATTAACTGGATGACCGGACTAGCAAAGACTGGATTAGCGAGTTATAAACTACTATTTTAGATTTTTAATAACACATTTTATTTTATTTTTAATTAGCTTAATAGTACCATTGGCTTATTATGGAGATTATCGTCCGTATTTTACGATACACGATAATGAGTTCAAGGAGTATATGAGCAAGACACTGAATCCGCCACCTATAATACTTGGTGTAACAAATCCTTATTTCACAAAAACATTACAACATTGGCCACATATTGTTAGAGTTACTGATACATTAAAAAAAGGTAAATATGTCATGTTTTGAATTGTTATTTTAGATTCTAAGCGAAGCAATGCATAATAAAAAAAATTCTTACATGGTTTCTAGTTGTTAAAAAACAATCATTTTTAATATTTTTTTTCAAATTTATAAGTTTTCACTTTTTTGAATGACAACATCCAAGTTTAATTTCATATTCCGAAGCAGAATATTTTTCCAAGTATTTTGATACATAAAAATCAAACTTAGGTAGATTATGAGTTATATTATGTATTTCGAGTATGATGAGCGGAGTGGAGTGCTACCCTCAAGGTATTGGTGAACTACTCTGCTCTAAGCTCTAAATACTTATAACTCGTAAACTACTCATCATAAATTCAATTTTTATGTATCAAAATTAAAAATACTCAAAAAAATATTCTGCTTATGAAGATGAAATTAAAACTGGTAAAAGTTCAAAAATATAAAAATATTTTAAAAATATCATTTTTTTAAAAACATTGTCTTGTAACGACTTTAAACGATGTAAAAAAATATTTTTAAAAACTAATACTTTTTGAATAACGAGTGATCAATGATAAAAGATTTACCTGATATTGTGTTCATGATTTAAAGAAGAGAAATATTTAAATTTATACTTTGGGAGGTGAGGTAAGTATTCTGTTAGAAAATTGGAGCCAGTTGGTATTTTTGAGTGGTCTAAAGAGAAAATTGCGTGGAGTTTGAAAATAATTGAGAAAAAAAAAAAATAGTAAGACGGGAATTTAAGTTTTTACAACATCAATTTTGTTTTTGTTGTAACTCAAAAGATACTAAATGTGTATTACCATTTCTATACATGGTAATATCTTTAAAATATTTTGAGGTATGTAGGTATAGACCAGTCATGCCCAACCCGCGGCCCGCGGGCCACATGTGGCCCGCCAAGGTATTCCATGTGGCCCGTTACAAATTGTTAAAATAAAACAAAATATTCCAAAAAAAGTAAAATTATTACAAAATACGATTTTAATTAATTTATAAATAAAAAATACAATAATAAAAATAAAAATAAAAAGTATATAAAAATGTTTTTAATGTGAAATTTGAACTTGTGTTTCTTTGACTAATAATGAAAAATCTGGTTGGAATTTAGTTGTTCCAATCCTCAAAATTGAATGAAGGTGTTCATCCGTAAGTCGCGATCTATGAACTGATTTTGTTTGTTTCGTCCGTGAAAATATTTGTTCACATATATACGTCGAGCCAAATACAGTTGCCATTTTCATCATAATGTCTCTCAAAGCAGGGAAATCTTCGTGTGAAAGAGTTGAATAAAATTTTAAAATATCATTTTTTTTCATTGTTTGAAATTCATCATAGTAAAATGAATTTGTTTTTAACTCGATAAGTTCAAGTTGAAAAGAAGTATCGACATCAATTTCATCAATATTGAATGGATTTTCAAATAAACGCAACGATTTTTCGTGTAATTTAACATCTGAAAATCGAGATGAAATATCGGTTTGCAATTTGTTTAACATACATACAAATCGATTTGTTGAACATAATGATTTTGTGTTATTCTTAAATATTTGGCAGTTCTCAAAATGACTGAAATCACTGCGCTCAATTTGATTAATAAATAATTTTAATTTTGCATCAAATGCTTTAATAGAATTATACATGTCAAATATGAATTTTCCAGGTCCTTGTAATTTAAGATTTAAAATATTTAAATGTGTTGTTACGTCTGTAAGAAAAGCTAAATCCCACAACCAATTATCATCTTTAAGTTCTAAAATTTGTTTTCCCTTGTCGATCATGAACATTTCAATTTCTTTTAAGTAACTTATTGACCATTTTTCGTTAAAAATTCGGTAATCATCATTGTATTTGCGCTTTTTTCTGTCGGACATTTTAAAATAGAAATTTTATGATTTAAAATTGATATCACCCGTGCACTATAAAGAGCGTACTGATCAAGTTAATGCGTACCTACAACGTGTACCTCAATTTGTAATCGTGTGCTATAGTCAATAAAAAAGATAAGAAAACCAGTCCAACATGTACCTCCATATTATATTGCAACCTACTATGTGTAACTAAATTATGTTAAGATTGAGAATATGAGTACTTTTTATTTGGTGGCCCGCTCGATTACAAATGTTTACCAAAGTGGCCCGCCGAGGAAAAAAGGTTGGGCATCACTGGTATAGACTATAGGCATTTGATATTTTTGAATACTTATTCTAGAAGATGTCAATGAAAAAATTTTCCTCTGTCAAAATGTTTGATAATGTATTACTAAGTTCCTCATAAATTATTCATATACCAATATGGTACACTCGACGCCTACTGCACAGCAGATCTTCTTTTCTCCTTTTTATAATTTATTTTAACATTGCTGTGAAAGTTACTTTATCTTTTAAACTAATTTGAGTTAACAGTTAATAATATTTTTGCACCATAACACTTTTTGTGTTGTAATTATTAGAATTAGTCCTTTTTGAGTTTATTTACCATCATCAGAAAACTAAATATTTTATCGTTCGGTAATAAAATTATTAAAAAAAAAAAAATAATATAACATATTATTTTTTTTAAATTTTTAAATAATATGTAACTTATTTTGCAAATGAAGCATAAAATGATTTATATCGTGGTCAAATACTTATTAAAATATTGTAAAGTTAAAAACTATTCTATTATTACTATATTGAATAATATTGTAACTACTATAATTGTAACTATATTTACTATTAACAATTTTTTTTTGTATTATTTTTGTAAAATATTTTGACTCAATTAAACTTTGGAATTTTTAGATTAGACCTAAGTATTACTTTCAATATTACCAATATCTTAAGATCTTAGCAACAAATACCTTTAAAAATGTAATAGTTTTATTTTTAATTGATAATATTAAATACAATAAAAAAAATTATTTTACTATAGTAAATTTTTGGGTTGGATACTTTTGGGTACAGATATTATTATATTCTAACCGATTTTGTGTAACGCTTTTTTTATCACCATAGAGACAAATAAAATGTAAAAATAGCCTAATTCTTGCTAGGTATATATTATACAATGAATTAATGTTTACTTATTAATACATATATTTCTTCGAAGTATAAAATATTGTGTAACATTTTACGTTTATGTCATACGATCACCACACCTGAAAAATCATTTTTTTTTTTTTTTTGTTTTAGATACTGCAAATAAAAGTAAATTAAGGAAAGGATCGAATCTTAAAATCTTAGATGCTAAACCTGGAGTTTATACAGAGTATAAACCTTATTTATATAAAGACAAATCAATAGTGAAAAAACTTATCAGAGGAATGCAAAACAAGCGCCCAGAAGAAGTGCAATCAGCGCTATTGCGACGACACTTTTTAGAACTCACCCAGAGTTTTATGATACCCCTTGAGCGATACATGTCATCATTAATGCCCTTACAAAGGAATATTTCTCCCTTTAAGGTATGAAAATTGGCTTATGTGGTAATGGCATACACAGAAAATGTATTTATTTTATTTATTTTATAGGCGGCTCCTAAACCCTGGCCTTTTAATCCAGACAACTTTTTGGCTAGTTTAGAATATGCTGGGCCTCAACTGACATGTGGTATTAAAGGAGACTGGAAGGGGCTTTACAAGCAATTTTTTAGATCTCCTAATTTCAATGGTTGGTACAATATTCGTTACAAAGGAATGATGATGAAGCTTCAAGTTTTGCAAATTGAAGCTCTATCTAGTGTGGTAAAAAAAAAATGACATTTATAATTATGCTACATTAAGATTTTTATTAATTTAATATAAGTAAACATATTATAATTTATTTATCTATTTTAGGATATTAACAACTGGCTTGAAGGAAAACAAGAAGTAGAAATTGTTGACATGATACTGAAAATACGCCAAAAACTGGATGAATGTGAAAGCAAAGGATACCCTTTAAATAAAAGAATCAAAGATCAATTAAAAGTGAAAATGGATGATATAATTTGTTCATTGCCAGATGATTTAAAAAATGTCTTGTCAAATAAAAAGCCATCTAGCAGATGATACACTTCCATGTATAGATATAGATGGAGAATAATTTTAATAATTTAAATAATATCAATGCTATCTCACTAATTGTGTCTGTATTTATCCTGACTTGGATCTATACACTGATCATCAGTTTCAAAATTGATATTATTATTATTCCATAGTTATATATTTTTACAAACATATTACAGTTTAATACATTTTTAAGTATTCAGAAATTGTCTAAATATTTATCACTGACATTTATCAACTATAAATTCCTAATTTTACATTTTTGTTGAAATCAAGTACAGATATTTTAGACTAAACAATATTCGTACTGCCCTCAATTTTTATAATACTTACATTAAGATACTTCCAGGAAAGAAGCTGGTTAATTTATGTTTATATAATATTATATTGTTATGGTTTATGTCATAAATGTTGCCCATAAATATAAAGTTATATTATATGAAAGACTTAGTGTTATTGTTAGATAAGTTGTTAATTTTGGAGTAAAATACATTTTTTTTGCCGTATAAATAAATATGTGTTAAAGTATTTATATTAAATATGTACTTGATATATAAAAATGCAAACAATGTATATTATGTTTAGTATGCTACTACCTCTCCTGCCCTATAATACTATAATACTTGCTAAACTAAATAATTGTTAAGTCTCTCAGCCTTTAAATTTTAATAATGGAGACTAACGAATTTTGTTATTTTATAGCAGGTTTTACAAGAATCTTTTAAGCGTTATCATCCATTAATATGATAACAAATTAATGCTAGAATAAATTAATGGCCAATAAGTTACAGATTTAGGTTGGTTAGTAGTCAAGTTGGTACTTAATAAAGTTATTTTTCCTTTTCATTAGTTTAATTGTAGTAACAAAACATTTTATTGGATCAGATAATAATTTAGTATAATATAAACATTCATTATAGGCATCTATAACTTTTGGTTTTCCAACATAGTAAAACTATTTATTCAATTTATTCATTACTTAGTTGTTTTTTTTTTCAGTTTTATACTCTTGGGTAGTTGGGTATTAGGTACCGCTATATAAAATGAGATATAATAAAAGATATAATAAAACCCAGTTACGAAATTATAGGAAAACCCAGTTTAAGCCCTAATAAATGAGGGGAATCTATCTCAAGACCTACAGATTCTATGACATTTAGGTAATTCTGATTATAAAGACACATAGTTTTTGGCATGCAAACTAATATTGACCCAAATAATCCTTTGTCAAATATAATCAATTTTACTACTCCAATATGTGATGACAAACAAAAATTAAATTGCATCATTATTAAACCGTTTAAACCTTAATAAAATGTACAGCAACCATTTATTGATTTGTGTTAATTGCTCTGCTCAGAATATTGAATAAATATTATGAAGATTTTCGAAAACATTTGATGTATCAAATATTTTTTAAATCATAGTAACATAGTAACATATTACACATACAAATTTTAATAAAATCTATATGGGGTATAATATTACCTACAGTATTATAATGTATTAAAATATTGTTTCCAGAACATAATATTATTATGACAATATAAAATTGAATGTAATGTATTTGATGTATAATGATATAAGTTTTTTCTGTGAATTATTTTCGAGTAAAACAAGCAATACAAATATTAAAAGCTTCTTAATAATATGTATATTTCCAAATATAATATTATATTAAAAATTTTATTTGTATGGATCCGTGGCATTATTTGGGCGGGATAACTTATTTTCCTAAGTAGGTACAATTTTTATAAGCACCAGGCACGACAGATTTTTGTGATTCTCTGGGCGCCCTGTATCTTCTCATAAAAATAAAGTTCTACATTTTTAATAACATTTTATTAGTTATAAATATGTTATTAAATTATATTATTCACATACACATGTGTAATATAATATTTTTACCCTTATTACATTATTCTCTAGTGTTTAGTATTGTTGACTGTTGTTGTACCTATATACCTATTATATTTTTACATTATGAATTTTAAACAACTATTCCTAACTGTAAAAATAAGACCGATCATCATTTGACCATTGTTAATTTACTGGCCCTAAAAAGTTATCGTACATAGTACTTACATCATGTACAAATCGATACAACTACTGAACAATAGAAATGTATAAAAATAATTAAAATAGATAAACACTATTAAAATATGTTGGTTGTAATAATATTGTCATACACTCATACCTAATTCACATCTAATTAACCAATATATCATAGTATGAACAATTAAAATTAATAGGCATGTCATAGATCATAGAAGGTGTAACAGAAAGACCGGACAAATGAAAAATGAAAAATATTTACTAATTAAACATGAATAAAAAATATGAATAGGTACATTGAAACAACTAAATCTCTCGGTACCTACCAACTGATTTTTCCGCTATAATGGAGTTTCCGTTATAGTGAGACTAAATTTTATGGGATAAGTTTAGGTATATTGTGGAACTGTTGTTGTTTTCCAATTTAAGGAGATTTCCGCCTTAAAGTGGGTCCGTTATAAGGAGGTTTTACAGTATACATAGTGTGTTATATATTTATATTATGAATAATAAATAATTTAAGAATTTTTAGTTTAAGAATATTAAAGATACATAGGAACGAGTTTTTGTTATAATATAATTTAAATTTCAAATTTTGACCAAATTCATTAAAATCTTAAACATTTGAAAATGTTATTATTTCGTAGGCGTAGGTAGTTAACAATTTAACGTTTTATAATATAATTGTTCAACTACGAAACTAACTATAGACATAATTTAATAGTTTATAAAAATGACTATATCATACTTTCTATACTGAAGTATGAGTACCTATTGAGGACTTTATAACTTAATTATTGTTCATTTTAATGCGAATGAGATGCCCCAGTTCTATTTCAGTGAAGTTTATGGGGTTTTTGCCCACGTATCTGAAGGGAATAAACAAATTTCATATAATATTATGTAATAACTAATTTTTATTAAATAGGTACCTATGAGTGACGAGTCTGACAAATGTAGTTTCTACACAGTTATTTTTGTAAAAACGATGATTTCAGTCGTATTTGAAATGACCGATTCAATTATGGTTCTTAATTGGACTTAAGTTCCTATAATATTATACCTCGTGTTTTCCTACCTCCGAATATGTCAATTGAGGATGTACCTATGTGTGTGTGTGTGTCCATGTACTTCTTACTTCTTACACCGTACTTCGATGTTCATCAATTTTTATTGAAGCATAACAATTTTTTTGGGATACATAAATATAGTTTCACAATTGTCAGCGTTTCTGTGCCGTACGACGAGGTGAAGTGTATCACTTTTATACATACCTAATGTATACCTATTTTTCTAAATAATCTGTTTGATCAAAATAATTAAAACTTAGAATAGGTATAATATTATAATCTAGGTATATGTTTGTATAGGTAGAAGTGTACCATAATTATTCATGTTTTTTTTTTAAAAAACTTTTTTCTCCTTTTTTTTTGTTCTAAAAATGGTCCACTTTACCTACAGTCGATACTTGTAGGTACGTGCGGGTGAAATGGAACAGGCATTTGATTTTCATCAAAAACTACTTAGATCGATTCTAGTTTTGAAGTGAAAAACTAAATTACATTTTTAAAAAATAATTAGACCACATTTTGACCATAGCAATTATTTTTCCCTGTTTATTCATAATAGGTTAATGCAATTAGCTAAATTTCTTAATGTACTATTTTAATTAAATAATTGTTGTAAAGACAATTGATTTAATTTTACTTTCACAGACTTAACTGCCAGTGTTAAATTTTGTTTAGTGTACCTACTTCAAATTATAGCGACCAGTATAATTTTTCCTGTAGATTCTTGATGTTTTGATGTGGTCCACTTCACGCAACGTTTTTGAAATATTTTATTTTTATTTTTAAGTACCAAAATAATTAAAAATTTATTATTATTAGGATGTTAACAAGGTAAAAATGACCTACTTAACACATTAGAAATTTATGTATGACAATTGTTCATAGTTTTTCTTAGGAATTTATGAGGTAGGTACCTAGGAAAATAGGGCTTAAAAATTAAAAATTGTAATTAAGTAGGTAGGTACCTACAAAACAAAATGCTACACACAGAATTGTCTTAAAATATTGTTTTCACTTACATAAAAAACCATTCATTATGATATAAATATGATAAAATCTGTAAAATTAATTTAAATAAAACAGTTTAAAGATTAGGAACCTATCTTTTTAGATGAATATCAAATAAAAATGTTAAATTTGGACCACTTCACCATACTATAATAGGTATTATGTAAGTAGGTTCACTTAAATCCAACATAAAAATAGTTTTGGAAAATCACAACCAACAGCTTTTCCACCATTTGAATTAATTAATTCTACAACAATGTACTGACAATTATTATTACACAGTATAATAATATTAATATACCTACCTATATAGGCTGTATGGGTACTTTGATAAAATGTAGGTAGGTACCTACCGAACTGTTTACGTCTCGTTTTAACGACAGATCTTACAAGCGTTCTACTATCTGGCTTGATATTGTACTTTTTGTTTAGTTATTATATTATAATATATTTGTTGTATTAGAGTTTCTCAAATTATTTTGAAAAGCATACTAACATATTTTGTAGTGTGTAGTCATGTAATCAGAACCATTTTTCCAATTCGATGATTTTGATTATTTATTACCTATCCCTTTTATAATATTTAATATATTTATAACAACAGACATTTATTCGGCATGAACTTGAGAGAGTCGGTAATAGTGTTTGATACCTGGGTTAACAAATTGGTACCTTCTACGTACCAGCTACATATACTGCATTTTTTTTTTTTAAATTTTTAGATTAGGTACTATTCTGAAAGATTTTTACTCGCCAACCGGTCGGGCAAATTATTCTAACAAAACCACTACCTACCTATTCGTAATAATATTATACCGATATATATTATACCTTTGACTTTTTTGTTGTTTCTAAAATCATAGCATTTAA